AAAAACCTAACTCCTTCATATTCTATTAAAAACATACACGCTGTATTTTACAGTGGCTTTCTCTATGAGGGAATATTACAGAGAGCAACTGAATATCATTGTTAACATTGCACCCACCTCTGCAAAGAATATCCTAAATAATTCCAAATTCTACAGTAATTTGCACTAGCAAACAAAGTGAGCTATTAGCATAATTGCAGTTTTAAGAGAGATTGAAACTGAAAATAATAAAAGAGAATTCTTGATATATGTGCAGCTCACTTCTCATGACTATTCAATCTGCTTTAAATTAATTCACAGAAAAATTTACAGGCTTTCAGTTTGATGTCTATCCATATCCAGCCTCATTTTTTTTATTTTTGTGTAATAGGAAAAGAGTTCTGGTCCATTAATTCTCCCACTCTCTCTTGCAAGAAGTTAACCATTTCAGCCAACACAAAGACATGGGTTTCATCTAAGTCTTGTATGATGAACTTCTTTCCCAGGGCATTCGATTCATCTAGGTACAGCAGGAACTGCTTCATGGCGGGGTCGCTGTGGGATAAAATTATGATAATGTCACATAAACTTCAATGAGTTAAGCTGCAATAGTTACAATGCAAATGTCAATATAATACAATAAAATCACATTTATGAAATGCATTAAACCTCATAAACTTTATAAAGCATGCAGAAATTCATAAAACATAATGAGATTGAAAAAAATGAAAACTATTATGAAAACAGTCCTAATATGTTGAGATCAAGTATTTTCAGGGTTCTCCCAAATATCCAAGCCTGACCAAACATCCAAAGTTATACTGTGTGGATCTTGGCCATCTCCAGTTGGGGAGGATATTTCATAGACAGCGCCATGTTCCAAAAAACATCTGCTATGCTTTAGATAGATGAAAACTCAGGTGTTCATATGACCAAATGCACTGAAGTAGCATTGTTAAGATTCCTAGGAAACAACACGATTAAGGCTGTGAATGTTAAATTTAATCAGTGATGGAGACTGGTGACAACTGTGAATTTAGTAAAATAGGTAAAGCATATTCTGGTTATCTTACTTTAGTCCATATGTTCTGCAGTCACAGCAATTTCTAATACTTTTCAAGGTTAGCTTTGCATATAACCTAACATTCTATCCAGGAAGTATTTAAGCCATGAATAATTGTAACAAAATCCTGTCATCAAGTAAAATCTAAAGTACAAGGTCAGAAAAGATTGCTCCTTCTCATGGATATATTCCAGCAGGAGAATACAAGCCAAGGAACACTGCCAACTTCAAATGTGATATTTTGAGAGAAGCGCAATCTTATCCAAGAAAGGCTGAACCATCAAACCACAATCAAATAGAATGAGTATATTCCATCTATTGGAATTGAGTGCAAACAGTTGGGATTATGTTCAACTAGAACGTTTCATCCAATGAGATGAGAACAATTTTTAATATGATTAAATGTGGTTTTAAATATGTCCTCAAGATCAATACATACAAGTATCAAGGGAATAGTGATGACTTTTTAGCCCAGTCTCTGAATGACAATTTCCAACAGTTTAATGTAAACAGATACAGTTTCATGTAAAACAGATAGTTCTCGACTAACAAAGATAATTGGGACTATAATTTCTGTTGCTAAGATGAGCGGTCATAAAGCATGAAGTCATGCTTTGCGATGGCAATCCCACCAGTCCCCATTGTCATCATTAAGAGGCTTTGTGGACCACTAAGTGAGGATCTGCAAGCAAAGTCAGTGGGGAAATCAGCAAGTTGCAATTCCCAGATAGTTTGCAAACAAGCTGGCAGGCTGATATGTGGCTGCTGTTGGGTGGGGGAGGGAACATAAGGATACCAGTAGAGCAGGACCTGGCATGGTTGCTGCAGGGCACACAAGTAATCAATGTAGTGCAAGCAGGGCAATATGGGGTTGGCTGCTCCTGGGTGTAAGAGATTTACCAGAGTAACATGTCACCTTCTGTACTGGCTTCCCATTTACCTATGGGAAGCCAGTGGGAAGGTCACAAACAGTAATCATGTGATTTGGGACAATCATCAACATAATCAGATTTTATATAATCAAAAAAAGTTAAATTTAGAAATAGTTAGTTAAACATCTAAAATTTTCAATGTAAAATCAATTCAGAATAAATACTTTTTCCAATAACATTTCCCAATCTGGAAGAGATTCTGAGAAAGAAGTAAACCTATCAAACAATTTTTTTCTTTTTTTCTTCAAAATGTTAAGGCAGCTGCACTCTTAACAAGGCTTACATGTTTTTTTTAAAGCTGTCCATTTTTGTCTCTGCCTGTATATGCATCTACAATCACTTCTCTTATGTCCCCAAAGAAGTGCTATTTGTACATGCATACAGAAACAGCTGCTATAGTACCTCAAGGAAAAGTGCATTGTTTGTGCTAATGCGTTTTATGAAATACCTCTTTGGATATCACTAGCCTAAGAAATATATTCATTTTGTATCACAACCACATAGTAACTGCTAGAAATTATCTGAATACATCTACTATCATACTGTACACACGTCAATCTGTAATACAGCAAAAGACTGGCTGGCCAAATCTTTGAGCCAAAACTACTTCTTTTCCTTTGAAATTAAATACCAAGGAGTAGTTTGCTGGAATCTTACAGCACTGGCTGTAATAAAGGAAGTAAAGGAAAGTAAACCTCCCACCCAAGTTGTGGAGTGAAATTTTCAAATATGCATGAAAAAACAAACAAACTAGATTTAGATATCTAGGGTATATACTGGGTACGTAGCTAGAATTACATTAGGCATTGGTTTTATTTAATTGAGCTGAAAGCAATTACCTGCTTCTGGTTTCTTTCAAAACCTTTTTTTTTTACTCTGAATTTAACTTCCATCTTAATTGGGCCTCATTATTTCTATGCATACACTGCTCTTTCTGAAGGTAAATCTCTTTTTTTAAAACAAACTAGTACCCATCCACTTTTGTTTTGTTTGCAGTGTGTTCTTAATGAATACTAAACAGGATTAAAAAATTTAGATGATCATTAGATGCAGCAAATAGTTGCGCAAATCCCTTAACTTGATGCTAACCTCCAGTGATTATCTGGATTGCTGTAGCTTGGATATGGTACTTTTAGAACCATGCCTTGGTGGTTCTAATCTGGTAATTGCTCACAAGGCCTAAGGTCCTCAAAATTAATATTAAACTGTACATACATTATTCAGTTTACATAAAGGGAAAATAGTAGCAGAAGATTGTAATTGCTGTCTCAGCCCACTCTGCTGGTTAAGTGAATTATTTACAATCTGGAATTTAAACAAGTAACACCTTTAGAAATGAGAGTTAAAGGCAATATTGACAAGCTTAAGCCAGTTAAATTTAAGTGTAATAAGAAAATGAGGCTGTTGTCAGAATAATTTTTATCTTTATAATATGAATTAGGCATACCAAATATTTATAGTTTATAGGTTACATGAATAATATACTGTACTATATAACATTTCAGTAACATAGTATTCCTTTAAAACAAGAGTATGCTATTTTTGCTATTTCACTTGATTACAAACTCAGTGTTTCTTGTAACCATGTCACAACATAAACATTTCTTGCTCATGCTACCAAATTTCTTACAAGCTTGGGGTAGCACTTGCATTGCCAATATATTTTTGCTTACCATTCTATAAGTATCCCTTTCAAAACATTCACCATCTTCTTCACAATGTCAGATACCTAAAACATCAAACGGAGAGACTATTTGTAGAAAAGGATACAATGTTAAACTGAAAAAAATCAATACAAACGTCCTGATGGGTAAGCTTCTATCCTAGCCAGTTCAATTGAGCAAAAGTTAAGCTGAATTCAGATTTACTGATTTTCAAGACAATGAGAATATGCCTGTATAGTTAATTAACATAGTAACTTTGAATGTAATAAATTATTTAATATAATTCTGAATGCACTTCAATATTTTAATATGCTCTAATTTTAAAAAAAAGGGAAAACGAAAGCCCTATCAATAACATGTATTACTTTTATCTTGAATCTGGCATATTTATGTCTAGCTTATTACAGTACCGGTTTAGAACTAAATCCACTTTCATTCAAAGTCACTTTATGTTTTGATCTGGGTTGGACAATTTCAAGGCAACGAAGAGTCAGAGAAAACTCTACCCTGTGTTTGGGATTTTTGTAGCCCTGATTTGGTAGCCCTAATCCTACACTGAACTGCCAGCTGCCTGCAATTTGGCAGTTCGAATCTCACCAGGCTTAAAGTTGACTCAGCCTTCCATCCTTTCTCAGGTGGGTAAAATGAGGACCTAAATTGTTGGGGGCAATAGGCTGATTCTGTAAACTGCTTCGAGAGGGCTGTAAAGCACTATGAGTGCTTTACGGTATATAAGTCTAAATGCTATTGCTAATTCAGGGAGGAAATTGTATGGAAATTGTTTCTAACTAGCTGCATCTTCCAGGCAGGTTGCAATTGCACTTCCCATCATCCTCGGCCAGATTGATGAGGTTTAGTGTGCAACTACCCCGGATAAAACTAAGGTGAAAGAGAGTAGCTGCCAGCAACTATTTTACGCTACGCAGGATTCGCAAAACCTGACGTCTACGTTGCCCTGCCGAAAGGCAAGCCCTTAATGCCGGAGATACGAGGGTGAACGAGGGATAAACTGGGAAAGAAAGAGAAAGGGGGGAAAAAACAACAACCACTGAGTTCAAGCTAACAAAACACTGAATCGTGCTTCACCCGTCCAGCAACGTTGCCCTGGCGACGAACACACCAGGTCACTCCCGTTTCCCCCCGACCGGAAGAAGTGGGAGACGGAAGGAGCGCCGACTCCGACGCAAGAGCCACAACTGCGCAGGCGCCTTCTATATAGTCTTTGGATTGGGTTGCTCCTCCTGAGGGGCGGCGCTCCGGGTGACGTAAGATGGGTCGCGTTGACGTCAGAGCGTGGGCGGTATGGCAAGGCTTCGTCGTTGACAGTGGGACGGGGATCCGAGATGGGCAGGTAGGGGAGGAGGAGGAGAAGAGGAGGAAGACCGGTGGTTGGGGCCAACCTGGTGCGTGGTTGTGAAGTCGGGGGCTGGAGAAACCTGCCTCGCCTAGCCGGAGAAATCCCTGAATTAAGGAGTAATGTTGCGAAGGATGCCCGTATAATTCATTTGTCCATTATTATATAACGATAGTTGTAATCAGCAGTGATGGACTATCCATCCATGCACCCCTAAAATTAGGACAACTGGGGCATTTCTATGCTGTTCGCGAATTGCAATCTTTTTTTTTTTTTACACGTTCGCTAAAACACGTTCGCTGTTTTGAGCGCCTCTGCTGCAATTTCATTTCGGAGTGTGCACCGTAGGCGTGTTTTATTCCCAGGGTGTGTATGGGAAAAGCGCGACGGTTTTATTTTCTGAATAAAATATTTCTCTTCCTAGTGAATGTGGTTATTCAGCTATGAAATTAAGTCACCCCCTCCCACACTCTTGGATCTGTTTGCAGAAGAACATCTGCAAGGCAGTTAAATCAGGTTTGGAAAGTTGAGCCTGCAAGTCACTGCAAAACTGAAATGCCCGGGCAGCACTGTTGTTTTCCCTGGAGTCAGATGGCATTCTCACAAACAAAGCTTCATTGGCTAACCAGCTTTATTTTTATGGTTCCATGGCTGTACTGCAAATGGGAAAAAAAAATGGTTAGAACCTGCAGTTGGTTTAGAAACTTTTAATCTTCATATATGGCACATTTTAGGTGTTTTGAGTGATACTTTTTTATTTTTTTTAAAAAACCCAGATCCCCTATTTTTTTATTTTTTTAAAAAAAACTCAAATCTGGGTTTTATTTAAAAAAAACCTCCAGATCTATTCATGCATGTAGATTTATACTGAAAATCTGAGTGTCCTTAATTCTTACTGAACTAAAGACCATCTTGCCTTATTTTACCCAAGGTTATTGAGCAAAACTAGTTAATATGCAGTGTTACATACAAACTCCCCAAATTAGTTGAGTAAACTGGTAAAGTTAACCATGGAATAAGCAGCAAAAGTATTGACAGCATGATTTTGAATTAAATGATACCATATCAGTAGAACATCTTACCCCAAAAAAACTTGATTGGTCTCTGCTCTATTCCTTGTACTGAATCTGCACAGAATTTTTAAGCTCCAATAATTTTCTATAGATTTGCAGCAAATATATTAGATTTCAGTGAATTGGTCATTATGTCTCTGAATCTCTTTTTTCCAGTGTACATGGACAGCCAAAATAATTACCTTATAAAAAATACAGTTAAAGCAAAATATATTATTTTGGCTTGTGAGATGAATCATTTAAATTCAGAAGGGAAGGCTTTCCATATTAACATTTTGGAAAATGATATTATTCTTTTTTGCTTTGAAAGAGTTCTGAAGGGTGTGTTTGTTTTTTAATTATGAAATCCTGTACTAAACTTGAAATATGTTTTTGGAAAGAATGCTGTGCTGTCTCTCTATTAGATTAGGGCATAACTGATACATAAAATAATTTTTAAAATCCTGTTGATGTGCTAAATCAGTTTTTTGTACCTTTACAGAATGTCTCTGGCTGCTTATTGTGTGGTTTGCTATAGAAAGATAGGAACTTTAGGTTCAACATGGAAAGTTGATCAATCATGGAAAGATATCAGTAAGTGCAATTCTATTTTTACAAGCCTGACTCTATCATTATTTTATTTGTATGATTTCCCAGATAAATTCATCATTTGGAGTTTGCTGCACAAATACAGGCAAAATACAATATATATATCTACTTGAAAGCTTTAATAAGAATAATAAATAATACAAACTAAAATAGAAGAAAAAAAAGAGAAAAGAAAAGGCTAAAAATGCAGAAAAAGAAAAAGGCTAAAGAAAGATATGAAGTGGTTGTTTCTCATTTTCTTCATATTGGTGCTAAGTACAATTAAGATTTAAACTATTTCTCTAAAGCTGCATCATGACTCTTCTTTCTATAATCTGTCTAATCATCAAAACCATAAATCATGTTTTTTTACAGTCCATAAGGGGTGGGAATTATATTCTTCCTTAGAGATAGTTAGAATAGCAGTCTTTGGAAAAATGTTCATCACCACATTCCATAGGACTGATGATGAACTTTTGATTTATTGGGGTTTTTTCTGTAAAAGGAAATATATATATACCAATGGAAATGTAAAGTCTATTTGAAGGTAGGATCTCTGAGCAGGATCTTAAGTGACATCACTCTGCATTGCTATTTAAATATTTAAGCTATACTTAAGAATGAGTTGAACATTTTCCTAAACACAAAGTTGAAAACCTTACTTTTCCAGCACATAATATGAAATGATAGCCATCTAAAAAAATTGATAGAAATTTTAGATAGAAAAATGTTGATAAGGTCATCTGTAAGAATGTATACTGTACCATTTGATTTTTGGAACAAGTAATATAAATTAAATTATGATTTCCAATGATAAAATATTTTATGAAGCCAATGATACGTATTCCATATTAAAAGGATGATGGTGGGAGGATCATAAAAGGCTAATGGAAGAAACCAGTGTTGTAAATCTAATTTTGTACAAGTTTATTCAGAAGTAAATTCTTCTAAATTCACAACTTGAGCTTTGTTGCCAAGTTAGTTTGCCAAATTGTGTTTTGTTGTCCGAAGGATGCTTCCCAGAAATAATCTCATCAAGTTGAGTGGGTATACTCCCAACTATAGAAATTTCTTTAAGTGGTTAGACTTACAGAGAGCTGTCACTTGCTCCCTAAGAAATAGGACTTAGTTTTGCATAACCTCGAATAGGAATTAATTAAATTACCATTAAATCAGATATTTAGGGCCTTACTTGAGGCTTAAAGGCTTGATAACACTACCTCATGCTCTTATATCTCTGTTCCTCTAGCAGGCTATAAATATTCAAAATTGTAAGCTTTTGGGCTCCAAGTATGGGAGCTTTTTGGAGTTTTGTGGACTCTGCATTGGTTGCCAATTGATTTCGGGATCCAGTTTAAGGTGCCGGGTTTTCATCTATAAAGCCCTTCATGGCTTGTTACCTGGATATATTCAGAGCCAGATTCTCTAACCATCTGTGGTCCAACCAACTAGCTATAGCAATTAGATACTGATATGCACCCCACAGTTTCATTGAGGGGGGCGGCTGAGACAAGGAGCCCCTTGTCTATTGTAGTGCTGGTGTTATAGAGATCAGTCTGATTCCCTCTTTGCTGATTTTCCACAAGCTGTTAAGGATTGAGTTCCTTTGTAGAGCTGCTTCCTGATTTATTTTAATTCATCTTTTTGTTCTCTTTGAATTACTGCAGCATTGTTTTTATTTTTGCATGGGGCTTGTTTTATATTCCTTTATTTTTCTATGAGAATTTCCAAGAATCTTTTTTTATTGTGTTGGCATAAAAATAGTTAATAAATAAGCAATATTTAAATTAGAAGTTAAATGGATTCATGTGTATTTATTTTAATAATAACTAAGTACAGTTAGCTTAACCTCTGTATATGTCACATTATTGATATAATGTTTGTACTAAAACATCTATTTTGGACATGCATTGATACTAAGCTTTTAATTTTTAAGGAAAAATTGTGAAGTTAACGGGCTCACTTATTCTGGGGTAAGTTTTTATTGGCAGATATCCATTTTGTTGTTAGAATAAAACTAAAGTATCATAGTATGTAGGTGTTTAATGTGTTATTTTTTTCAACTCTTCTGGTGAATATATATAGTATGTTGTAACTGTTTAAATGCCTTGTATATAGTAATATAGTATATACTGAGCCACTGCGTCCCTCACTGAGCAGTGGCACAGTGGGGGATGCGGTGGCTCAGTGGCTAAGACGCTGAGCTTGTCAATCAGAAAGGTCAGCAGTTCAGCAATTCGAATCCCTAGCACCACATAACAGAGTGAGCTCCTGTTATTTGTCCCAGCTTCTGCCAACCTAGCAGTTTGAAAGCATGTAAAAATGCAAGTAGAAAAACAGGGATCACTTAGGTGGCTCGGAGTTATTTGTTGGAGTTGTGGTTTTCTGGAAAGCTGACATTAACAGTGTTCCATGCGTCTTTGGCTTTAGTCATGCCAGCCACATGACCATGGAGACTTCTTCGGACAGTGCTGGCTCTTTGGCTTTGTTACATCTCTGTTACAGAGCACTGCCCCCTAGAGCCGGAAACGACTAGCACGTATGTGCTAGGGGAACCTTTACCTTCTATAGTAATGTTGACAATATTATCTAGTATTGAAAGCAGATGCAAAATTAAGTATGACCCTCTTTAATATATTACACAATAATAGTAAATTCCTGCATTATTTTATCATTTAAAATCTGGACCCTTAAATATGACCTATGTGAATCAGTCATTCCTGAAAACTTTAAAAATTGTGAGTTTTGAAAGAATTGACAGGCCTCTTCTCTCTTCTCCCCCCCTCTCCTCCTCTCCCCTCTCCTCTCCTCCCCTCCCCTCCCCTCCCCCCTTTTTCTCTTGGTTTCTAACCCACACACAAGTTTTGCCTTTCCTTATTTGAAATTTAAATTTAGAAGCAGATTGCGTTTCCTGCTCAGTTCATGTATTTATTTATTGTTTCCTATATTTATAAAGCAATACAGACTGTGAGGTGATAATGTGCTGGTGCTGGTGCTTTTGCTGATCTGAAATACTCTTCCTCCACCATCTCTGCTTGATTTACTGCCTTGCTAGTTTCTAGCATCAGGATATGATTATGGGACCATGGCTAGAAGGTAGCAAGGAAAGTGTATCCCACAAGCATATCCTGATTTGCCTAGTTTGGATATCAAGAGAGTTCTGCTTATGAGAGAGAGAGAGAGAGAAGAAACTGGGCAAAAGGAAGTGAATGGACATTTCAGATTTAAATTTGTACTTTAATGCTTACACTGATATCTGTCTTCTTCTTTTTTAAGTGGTTGTATATTTGCTACTTACGAAGTTTTGACTTTAAGAAAATTATTCAGTTTTGATACCCAAGTGGTACAACAAGAAAAACTGAAATCCTACATCTACTTACAAACAGTTTCTTTAGATCAAAGTGACTATCAAGGTAAGAAAAACTAGGTTATTGTTGAAAGTAGAAGGAATTAGAAACACAGCTTGAATATAAGAAATAGTAGTTAAGAACTAGAAGAGTAGTATATTCATCCTGATACTTAAGGAAGGACATTACACTAGAGACTATGGAAGAAATTTACTCATGTTCTCTTCTGTTATTAGAACTTTATCAGATTTTCTCTTTTTTTCCTCATAAGAATGTTTTTCTCATTTTTTAATATTATATTCTACTGGAAATTTACTCAGCTAGGACCAGGATCAGAGGTGGTATTCAGCAGGTTCTGACCAGTTCTGGAGAACCGGTAGTGGAAATTTTGAGTAGTTCGGAGAACCAGTGGTAACCTTCCCCCAGGAATGGGGCGGGAATGGAGATTTTACAGTGTCCTCCCCATGTAGAATCGTTTTCCTGCTCTGGCCTATATATAGGATGGACAATATATTATTTGACCAAAATAAGCTTTCTATTGTTTTTGTAGGAGTTATATGTCAAGTGAGAAAGAAGCTTCACCGAGCAGCCAAGAAAATTATAGAAATGCATGCTCGAATTTTCCAAAAGCCCTTCGATGGTAGGTTTGGTAAAAGCTTTAAGAATGCTATGTCAATGTGCTGTAATCTAAAACGTATTTTTTTAAAAAAGCAGAAGCTCTGTATCTTTAACAATTTATACCATGCAGAAACTAAACAGATATAGCTTTTTCCATTCCCTCCACCCAATGCTGTTTCTGTGTATTGGGAAATCAATAAATTTCTCCCTCTATATATATATAACTAAAGTGCAAAGCTGCCGTTATCTGGCTGACATTTGTTACCTGGAACAGTGACTTAATATTTGGAATTGGCTCTGAACATGCTAGTTTTGCTTAAATGTTTTATTATTTTTAAACCAATTGCTATTTTATAAATAAAATATCTTGTCAATGTTTATTCAGAGATTTAGGCTTAAAGTCAGTACAATAGTAAGAGGCAATTATTCAGTCAAGCAATGTGCTTCACTGGATGCATTCAAACAAAGACTTGATTGCCATCTGGCAGGAAAGATTTACCATATAAACTCGAGTATAAGTCGACCCGAATATAAGCCGAGGCACCTAATTTTGCCACAAAAAACTGGGAAAATTTATTGACTCGAGTTATAAGCCGAGTTTTTCAGTACATTTTTTGTGTTGAAAAAAAACCTCTCGGCTTATACTCAAGTGAGATTCCCTCTGAAAAAAAAAATGGTGTGGAGCTCCAGAGCTGGGCAGCCACTTCCCTGCTTCCATGTTTCCTTTGCAACTTGTAAGCATGGGGGTAATTGGAAGCAGAAAAGTTCTTGCATGAGGATATATTGTTTTTTCTTTATTTAACTGTTTTTAGGGCGGGGAAAGACCCACCGTCATGTGAGAATGCTCTGACACGAAATCTATTCGCCTGAAAATAAGTGTGTGTATGTGGGGGGGGGGGGGTTAACAGAGGGAAGACATAGGGAGAAGGCAAAAGCGACGGAAGATCCTTCAGGGGAAACTGAGGGGGAGACTCACCCTTGGTCCAGATGAGCCCCCTTCCCCGCCCCTAAGGAAGCAGAGGCAGCCAGCAAGGGCAGGCAAGCCCCGCTTCGCGGACTCCGTCCGTCCTCGCTCCCACCCACCCACCCAAAGCCACGAAGTCCCCCAATCGCGCAGCCCAGAATCGCCCTCCCCTCAGGGGGCAGCAACGACGCCCGGTGTTTCCTGAAACAAGAAGCTCCGCCGTGCAATGAAAGCTCCCTGGCTCTAGGCTCAGAAAACAACGCGAGCTGAGGTGGCTTCGTTTCCTCAGCCCTAGCTGCTTTCAGTCTGCTCGGGAGGAGGAGGGGGAGGAGAAGGTGGTGGCAGCGGCTCGCGTTGTTTTCTGGCTCTAGGCTCACTATCGCAGAAAACAACGCGAGCCGTTGCCGCCGCCACCTCCTCCCCCTCCTCCTCCTGAGTGGACTGAAAGCAGCTAGGGCTGAGGAAACGAAGCCACCTCGGCTCGTGTTGCTTTCTGAGATCGCGAGCCTAGAGCTCAGAAAATAACGTGAGCCGCTGCCACCACCTCCTCCTCCCCCTCCTCCTCCCGAGCGGACTGAAAGCAGCTAGGGCTGAGGAAACGAAGCCATCTCGGCTCGCGTTGTTTTCTGAGATCGCGAGCCTAGAGCCTAGAGCTCAGAAAATAACGCGAGCTGCTGCCACCACCTCCTCCTCCCCCTCCTCCTCCCGAGCAGACTGAAAGCAGCTAGGGCTGAGGAAACGAAGCCACCTCGGCACGCGTTGTTTTCTGAGCCTAGAGCCAGGGCGCTTTCATTGCACGGCGGAGCTTGTTTCAGGAAACACCGGGCGTCGTTGCTGCCCCCTGAGGGGAGGGCGATTCTGGGCTGCGCGATTGGGGGACTTCGTGGCTTTGGGTGGGTGGGTGGGAGCGAGGACGGACGGAGTCTGCGAAGCGGGGCTTGCCTGCCCTTGCTGGCTGCCTCTGCTTCCTTAGGGGCGGGGAAGGGGGCTCATCTGGACCAAGGGTGAGTCTCCCCCTCAGTTTCCCCTGAAGGATCTTCCGTCGCTTTTGCCTTCTCCCTATGTCTTCTCTCTGTTAAAATCCCCCACACACACACACACTTATTTTCAGGCGGATAGTTTTCATGTCTGAGCATTCTCACATGACTGTGGGACTTCTCCCCCCCCCAAAAAAAACAGTTAAATAAAGAAAAAACAATACATCCTCATGCAAGAACTTTTCTGCTTCCAATTACCCCCATGCTTACAAGTTGCAAAGGAAACACAGAAGCAGGGAAGTGGCTGCCCAGCTCCGGAGCTCCACACCATTTTTTTTTTCAGAGGGAATCTGACTCGAATATAAGCCGAGGGGTTTTTTTTCAGCACAAAAAATGTGCTGAAAAACTCGGCTTATACTCAAGTATATATGGTAATTTGGATTTCTTTGCTGAATACATGTTAACTTGAAGGTCCTTCCTACTCTGGGATCCATAGTGTTCTCATTGGGATGCAAAAATGACTTTTGGGTACTTAAATGTAGTTCCATATATATTCTTGTTTTACAGTTTTGTGCAGGGTCAAGTCAAAATCATTGGTTATGGCCACTAAACTTCAGTTTCCAGATTCAAAGCACTCCATTCAATTGAATGGTCAATCGTTCACATTAGGAAAAATCTCCTTCAAATCAAACTTGATACTGATGTATAGTTTTCTTGACAATTTTTACCAAAGTTGTTTACAATTACCTTTTTCTTGGAAGGTTTTTGTAACCCAATCGTGACTGTAGCTCTAGTGTTCTCTGAAGGTGTATCAACAAAGGATTTACCCATTTAGCTTGTTGGATTAGCTAAGATCAATTAGGTAATGCCACCTAATTGTAGATCCAGGAAATTGCACGCTTTAAAACATTACTCTAAAAATATGATCTTTAGTTACAGTACTGCTGATAATACAAAGATGGAAATAAAGTGACTATAATAATCTTGTCCTATTTTATGTTTGGTAAAGAACGCTTCAGTACCCTTGATGCAGAAGAACGCGATTATGCCTTGTGGCTGCTTGTGAAAAGAAGTCAATCAAATGATAAAATGGTCCGATTACAAGCTGTGGAGGAATTGGCCGCCAATCGTTACTGGCATGGTAATGGTGTCTATTAAGATAACTACAGAGTTCCTGCTGTTGGCTCTTATCTCTTGCATAGTACTATGAAAAGGATAGCCAACCGAGAGCAGCACAATATATCAGAAAGCTTTCTTATACAAGTTCACAGACTAAATAGGAACAATAGATGTACCCATTCATTTTAATTGGAGCTTGTACTGGGGAAACCTTTTAGTGATTAGGACCCTCAGTGTGTTTGTTTCTTAGTTTGCTAAATTTCAATTAAGGTGGGGGCGAACACTTTACAGTAACTGGACACTCAGAATTATTTAAAAATTACTACCAACCTGCCTTCCATCGAGGACCTGTATGCTGTCAAAAAGAGGGCTGTGAAAATATTTAGACCCCTCACATCCTGGACATAAACTGTTTCAATTCCTTCCCTCAAAACGATGCTATAGAGCACTGCACACCAAAACAACTAGATACAAGAACAGTTTTTTTCTCAAACGCCATCACTCTGCTAAACAAATAATTCCCTCAACACTGTTCAACTATTACAAAGTCTGCACTACTATTACTATTACTCTTCTCATCGCTCCTTATCGCCCATCCCCTCCCACTTGCGACTGTATGACTATAACTTTGTCGCTTGTATCCTTATTATCTATATTGACTGTTTCCTAGTATGATTTGATTGCTTATTGTACCCTATGACTGTTATTAAGTGTTGTACCTTATGATTCTTGACTCTTGACGAATATATCTTTTATGGACACTGAGCGCATTTGTACCAAGACATATTCTTTGTGTGTCCAATCACACTTGGCCAATAAAAGAATTCTAATTCTAATAAAAGAATTCTAACAGTAGAATCTTTTCAGTTCTGATATCTTACTTCAGCAAGAACCAGTGGGTGGATGTTTTACAATGAGAGCTCAGACTTCCTGTTGGAAATGCTTTAAGAATGCTATTGCTGCCCACAGGAGTCTGACATTAAACTGTCAACTTTTGTTTCACAATACAAACTGCAGGTGTTAACAGTTCTGTTAACAGCATTACAGCTAAATCTCCCCCACCACAACCACCACTGTCCTTGTTCTTCTAAATTGGGAATTTGTTTACTTCTGCCATCCTTAGGCAGGTAGTCCGTTCTAAACAGAGAGCTTATCCTCACTGGGGTTTTAATTGCAAAGATGTATTGCTTGTTTATATAGTTTTTACTAAAAATATATTTCGGATTAGTGAAAATCTTAACTTTATATTTGTTTTAGTACAGATTATCAGTACAGGACTGTTGCCCAAACAAGCGACCAGAGAACTGCTATAGCTTTAGCACGGAGTAAAGACGTTGATCTGCGATTTTTCCTGCCTCCTCATCTTTTACTGAATCCACAAGATGTATGTATAATAAGATCTGAACGGCCTTTACTGCAGCTGCTTCTTTTATTTAGATACTTGAAAATTAATACTTGGGAATTGACCGAGATACGTAGCATAATGCAGTTGCCGGAAAGCGTCCGTAAGGACAGGCATGCTTCTGAAATTATTATTTTTTTCATTTGAGCTTTCCCAATCAAATGCCAAGAGAAGCAGCTCTTTGCCTAACTGAAAGGACTGGGGGAGGGGGGGAATTGGTCTCAGGAGGAAGGAAGAAATGCAAGAAAGATCTAGAGGCACAATAACCTGGAGGGCTCTCTTCTGATTTGGACTTCTCTGCACTGTATCTCTAATCAATCTATGAATGCCGGTCCCTGAGGCTGTTAGGTTGTTTTACCTAAGTATACCAGTCTCTGAGTAGAGTGCCCTCTTAAGTGCCATGAAATCATTTCCTAGGATGATTTGATCTCCTGGGAGACTGAAAGTCAGAAAAAAAGGGCAAAAGTTGAGGCAACCTCCAGCTGCCCCAAGGGCATCACGTTGAGGAGAATAATCAGTGTCTGTTTGTTTTTTCACCCAGTAGTCCATGCTGGGTGAAAGGGGAAATAACAATAAGACATCTAACAGTTGCTGTCTTGAAACTACCGTGCCCTAGTTTGTTTCAGGGCAGAGCTGCCTGGCCACCTTGATGACATGCGATACAGGTGGCATTTTCCCCCAACAAGAATAGCAAGAATGTTCAAGAACAAATCGGAAAAATGTTGGAAATGTCATCAGACACCTGGCTCATATTACCATATGTGGTGGACTTGTGGGGATGCTAAAAAAATATTGGACTAAAATCCACATGTGGTTGGAAAAAAATGACACAAAAGCATATAGATTTGAAACCAGAGATATTTTTATTGGGAATTTTACCTGAAATATATAGTAAAGAACTGAAATTGTAAATGTATTAACAGGGGCTAGGATTGTATTTGCTAAAAATTGGAAAAATGAGAAAATAACATCACAGGAGGAAATCATTAAGAAAATACTGGAATGTGCTGAAATGAGTAGATTGACATTTGAAATCAGAGAACAAGATGATAAACAATTTTATAAAATCTGGGATCTATTCTATCAATAGTTAGAAAATAAAACATGGTAATGAAATATGTAGATTCTTAGAAAATAATACATATATAAAGATGTATTCTTTTCTTATTATATCTACAAAATGATTGTAGGATAGATTTGAGATGATAATATGAACTGTCACAAAACAATTTAATTAAAATATGATTATTCGTAAAACATGAATGAATAAAACTATAGTCAAATGATTGATTAACAATGATATTAATGTATTTAGTACTTGATTGAAAATATGAGAATATATACAATGTAATTGTAATTGAAGACTGAAATGGAAGCACAAAACAATTTGTAAACCAACTGGCACGCTGTATGTATATATATATGGAAGATGGCTTGATGTTTTTATATTTTGTTTGTCTATGTTTGTCTTAAAAACCAATAAAAATTATAAAAAAAAAGTAATTAGAAAAAAGTTACTTTATGTCTGTGCAGTATCCTCTGGTTTCTGCCCTGCCACCTTAGGCGTATTTCCCTAATCAGAATATGCTTGAAGGAATATGGTCTGAACAGAAAAGGATTGCATTCCTAATCTGGACCTTTACACTAAAACTCATGCAGCTTCATACCATAAAAGCATTTACAAATCCTAGGTTTTTTATGCGAATCATCAACAAGATACAGTAACAGGAATGTTTGTGGTTTCATATTTCAGACTTGTTGCTTAGAAGATGAACTTCGACTGCTACTGGCAGCTTTACCTCAAACAGATCTTGACCAGTGTGTACAGTATTTTACCTCTTTAGCTTTAAGAGAAAGCAGCCAGACCATAGCTGCCCAAAAGGTATATTCTCAAAACTTAAAGAGTTCAACATTCTAGTCAACTGGGTACTTAGAACTGGCATTCAATTTGTATGTTTTCTCCTTAATGTATTGTATTTGGGGTTCCCATTTTCATTTGCATTTTTACAGTGTCTTAAAGACTCTTTGTACACCATGTTGGGTCTTTTGATTTGTTGGCCTATGAAGCTGGAGATGGATCTATTAAATTCTCAATATAAAAGGTGGCATAGTCTCTGACTAAATTTGAAGATGGAAAATGAAGTATTGGATACCATGATTTTATACTTTGGTTTTTAATGGTATTTACTTCTCAAGTAAACTGAAGACAAGTTCAACTGTTATTCTGTCTTGCCAATAAGTTTCTAATTTAGAGGGTTGGTCTGAGCCAGCAGGAATGAGAAGACGGCAATAAATATTTGCTTGTTTCCAGTTGAATACATATTACAATTACATCAGTTCCTTGAATTGACTGATCATGCGGAGTAAATTCTTACTGGAATTTTTTTACTGGAAAAAAATTTGCCTCCAGAATAATAAAATGTTCCTTTGCAAAATATTAAATTCTCATATCCCTTTTTGAGTAATTTGCCTGGAAAGTAATATTAGTAGCAAGAATGCTCCAATGGCTGTTATTATATTGATGTTTCTACCTTGCTGGGCAGTATTTTTAAAAGAGTTCAAAGTTACAGCATCTTTGCTGTAAAGTGAGACATGGACTCTTGTTTCCTTTGACCCATTAGAGTACTCTTTGTGCTTAATTTTTAAAAAATGCAGAACTCTACACACTGTTACAGAAACATGGTTCTTCACATTGTTCATTCTGTTGTTTTGAAATTAATTTCCAACTTGTTTTTCTTCCAGGGAGGCTTATGGTGCTTTGGAGGTAATGGACTTCCATATTGTGAAAGTCTTAGTACCGTACCGGCAAAGACAGTGGAACTCTTCTGTCTGCAAGCTTTAGTGGAACATTCCAAGGTAACGCAGCAGATACACCTAGCCCGAGATTTCTCACTCTGGGCCGGGAGCCCTTTTTCGATCTCAGTAGTGCAAGCAAGCTGACAATATAATCAAATAGTTAGAAAATGATTCGTATTTTTCATGATGATAGGATATGGTTTTCATTTTAAAATAGCAATAGCACTTAGACTTATATACCGCTTCACAATGCTTTATCTCTCTCTCTAAGTGGTTTACAGAATCAGTGTATTGCCCTCAACAATCTGGGTCCTCATTTTACTGACCTCAGAAGAATGGAAGGCTGAGTCAACCTTGAGCCTGGTGAGACCCGAACTGTCAAACTGCTGGCAGCCGGTGATCAGCAGAAGTAGCCTGCAATACTGCATTCTAATCACTGCACTACCACGGCTCTTAGAATAGATGAAAGAAATGCTTTCCCATTAAATGAAAGGTCCTTTTAATTAAACCTGTTAATTTTAATGATATTAATTCTGGGTTCTGCCTCTCACTGCACTTGCTGCTACTTTGTAAACAGTTGAACTCAGCCATTTTCAGCCGTCTCAGATCCAAGGTAAAGGCATGAAGAGAAAATCCCTGCTCAAGCCTTGTTAAAAACCCAGGATAAATTATAAAATGTGTAGGCACTATTCTACTTAAGTCATGTTATGAGGAAATAGGTCTGTAGTGCCTGTGCTTAATATAGAGATTCTCAAGTCACTTTTAATTTTATTTCCGTGTCTGGGTAATAAGTAGTCCACCTTCTGTCACCCCCGGGACTCTTTGTGCATGAAATAATTTCATACTTGATTTGCACACAGTTCAAGTGCAGCTTATCACTGCAATTCTCTTATTTCAGATCCCTAGCCATTGCAATAAAATTGAAGCAAACAAGGGACTTCAACTCCTGCAAAAGTTGTATCACCTCCATAGAGATTCTCACAAGATACAAAGAAGTATCATTCACATAATTGGAAATATGGCATTAGACGAACGTCTGCATGCATCAATAACACGTGCAGGTAATAGCGAATGTATTTGTTGTTAATTGGACAAGGATTATTAAAATATTTTGTCTTGCGGTTTTTCCTTACAAGAGTTACAGGGTTTGGAAATCAATACTTTAAAGTTGGAATTTAGTTACAGTGGAACCTCGGGTCACGAACGCTCCTGGTCACGACCAAATCGGGTGGCAAATGAAAAATCCACTCAACTTTTGAATCGGGTCATGATTCAAAAATCGGGTGGTGGACAAAATTTTCCCTTTGGCGCCATTGTTTTTTTTTCTGCGTGCATACGCAGTCGGTTGTGCTTCCAGACACGAACAGATTGGGTTGTGCCCGGAGTCCGGGAACGGATTACGGTCATGACCCGAGGCTGCACTGTATTTAATATTCCAGGCAATTCATACAGTTAGTCAAATATATATTCTCATTGGTTGAGCATAGTATAGAAACTATACATGGGTATATATTGAATTTATCTTTGGAAAAAAGGAAATGATCAGAAACTACTTATACTTCTGCAGTTTGTGAGGCAGTGCTTTTTTCTATTCAGGACTCTTCTCAAAAACGGGAAGGAAGGAATGAATCAAATAGATGAATGATTAAAACAAAGGTTTTCCTGACAGGATGACTGTTTATTTCTGGAGGGGTTTTTAATAGCAGAAACTTTACGTAAACAGAATACATTTTACCCATGGGATGACATGTCTACCTGCCTGCCTGCCTGCCTTGATATTGCTGCATGAATTATTGGTTATGATCAGTCTTACACCATATCTTCAAACATGAACAGGAGAAACTAAATTTTTAGACTTCCAGTTGCTAACAAATTTTGCAGAGAATTGCCAGAGAAAATGTGGTGAAAAGCAGTCAATGTATATAGTACTTTCCTGCATATTTATTACTTACTAAGTGTACCTTCATTAATAAACCATATGAATAGGTAACGATCAGTGATACCAATGTTTTATTCAATTCAATGCTAGGATGGGTTTCTATACTAGCAGCTATGATGAAGTCTGCACGTGTCATGGAATCCTCTCACGCTGCAAGAGCCTTGGCTAATCTGGACAGGGAAGTGGTGCAAGAAAAATACCCAGATGGTGTATACATTTTACACCCACAATGTCGAACCAAGTAAGCAAGCTCTATCTTGTTTACATGAAGCCTCTGTTGTAATGCAAGCTTGTTCGTAACCATAGTTTACACATGATTTGATCTACTGATACAGCCCACTCTTTGCACTGGAGCTGATTCAGGCATCCAATTGTAAGAGACTGACTACTGAATCGTGAAAATTGCTGTAACCGTGTACTCCGGCAGATAAACAGTTCAGCCTGTAGGGAGAAGGTTTTCTTTCTGTTTCCCCTTCCTGTATTCTGAGTGGAAGGGAAAAAAATCAGGGAGCTGTCATAAACTCAGTCAGATTTTCAATATTGTGTTCTGACCTTACTCCCCAAACATGACAAACCTTCTGAAGTTAACTCGATGATTCCTTTAGTAGGAGCCCCGATAAAAAGTTTCTCTCTCAACATAGGCTAACAAGTCCAGCCAGCCAGAAGATGAATAGTGGTCTGCCACATTTATTCATCTCTGCCCTCTGCCTTTTATCCCCAGATAAAAGCCCCTAAGGTGGGGCTTCATTAACAGCAGTGGCTCTTCCTTCCCAAGGATTGGCCCATGGATTTCTACTGCTCTCCTCTTCTCTGTCCTCTGTGCATCTGCGTGTCAGGCACTGGACCCAGCTGTTCCTCCTCTTCCTCATCAACTACCTCCAGACCTGGGGGCTGTTGACTCTCCACCTGAGGACTGATGGATGACCCAGACTCCACCTCTGTGCTAGCCTCTTGCCCCTTGGAGCTCTCGGATTGCCTTGATGCTGACCCTGACTCCCACACCTCCTCTTCCTCTGATTTGGCTGCTGGAGGGGCTGGTGGCTGACAGGCCACAACATATTGCCTTGGTGCATAGACAGCGAATGTTTTCAACCTTAGTCAGCTCTTGGTATGCACAGCATGGATTAAAATATACAGAAGCAGGACAAAATCTTTTGCATTAATCTCATAGATGTTTGTCAACATGTGTAAATTGCTTTGGCTTTTAGGTTTGTTTCAGGGACGTGCATTATAAATATATTACAAGTAGTCCTTGTTTAGTGACTGCCTTGTTTAGCAAATGTTCCCAGTTGCACAGTGATGAAAAAGTAACTTTACATCCAATCCTCACATTTACGACTGTCACAGATCTGTAAAGCAATATCATAAGCACAGAGTTTCTCTTAATGACCGAGTTACCAGTTCTAATTGCGGTTTCTGAATGAGAACTACCTACAGCATTGTGGACTACCATTAGGATGCTAATACTGTACATTATGCATAATGCTCAAGACTTTCAAGACAGCAGTATGTTGTGAGAAACCTGGTCTATACAGTCTGGTGGCAGTTAAGCCTTTGGAAATTAGTGACTGAGAAAGGGAAAGGTGTAAATTTAGCTAAGATTCACACCTTGCTAAGGGGCACAAAATAGTTTCAGACAATAGATAGAAAGAAGTCCAGAGTTCAATTGGCTAAAGAAGCCGGCAGAAGAAGAGCAGAGCAGAAAATAAAGTAAACCTGAGATTTTGGAAGGAACTTTCTTATGAATCACTACATCTCATAAAATAAAGAAACAGAGTTAAGTTAGAGGAGGAGAGAACTTTACCTTTTAAATGATGTCCTCAGTACTGGTAAAGGGTGTGAGGAGATATAAGCCAACATTTGCTTCCTCACCCTGGTCTGGAATCTAACTTAGAATAATTCTATCAGTTTTGGTCTCTACCATTACTAATTCAGTGGAGATGGGATAGGAATTATTGTATTTATTTGAGAGTTAATTCTATGACTATATTAGTGGTTTTCAACCTTGGCAGCTTTAAGATGCATGGACTATAATTCCAGGAATTTCCAAGCAGCATGTTGGGAATTCTTTAAACTTGACAACTTTAAGACTTGTGGACTTCAACTCCCAGAATTCCTCCCCCCTCTCACGTTAGCTCAGGAATTCTGGGAGTTGAAGTCCACAAGTCTTAAAGCTATCAAGTTTGAAGACCTTTGGCCTAAATGCTCTCATTAATAATGGCTTTTTCTTTATGACTTCTCTCCACTACCAGTGAGCCCATTAAAGCTGATGTCCTTTTTGTTCATGGCCTTTTGGGAGCAGCATTTAAAACATGGAGACAACAGGACCTTGAGCACTCTGCAGATGAGAGAGACTTAGATGTGGAAGATGACTACAGTGAATGTTGGCCAAAAGTAAGAATTATTAACCACATCTTTTGAGTTACACGGGAACCAGGACTGCCAAGATTGTTGTTGCTAAGCAATGAGATCCCATGACATCACATTTTAGACTGCATAGTTTAGCAACAGCAGTCCTGGTCACTGGTTGTTGTTGAAACCCAAGGACTAACTGAATGATGATGGTAGGGATGTTAGATTCACATTCTAAGACTGGAAGAAACTTAATAATTCAAGTCCTAACTAAGAACCTAAGAATTATTAATATTAATGATTAATTGAATTATTCAAATTGCATCAAGGCTCTAGGTAGTTCCAAGCAGGGTGGTTTTTAAAAAAATAAAGTTAGGGTATTCAGGTTTCATAGATTCAATACTGCCAGATATCGAGAAACTCCTCTAGGCATTGTTCTGAGGGCTCCAATTAATGATTGCTTTAATAATTCATTTCTTTTCCCACGATATCTTATGATTCTTGACTCTTGACGAATGTATCTTTTCTTTTATGTATACTGAGAGCATTTGCACCAAGACAAATTCCTTTTGTGTACAATCACACTTGGTCAATAAATAATTCTATAAGTGTTCAACTTCAGTTTGTAGGCCCCAATATTTCATATATTTTTTTCAGTTGTTTTTCTTGAGTTACTTTCCATTATGTTCAGTTGAATTCATAAATAACAGAGAGCAGCATTTATGTGAACAGCTGTTTATTGAGAGGTACAGTACCTATGTAATCACCAACACAACACTTATTTGTTTACTGTACATGTACGTCAAGATTCTCCTGATAAAGCATTTTCTTTTTTCCCTTTTACTATACTTGAACTCAGAAAAGGTATCACTTCCTTGATTTCTGCTTTAATGCTGCTGTTAGAAGAGTAATAAGTCATAAGTGACAGTTTGATCGTTTCTAAATACGTTATGAAGCCTTCTGACATATCCAAATGCAGAGGATTTGATTAATTGGCAGGGATCCACCAAACAGAATGATAGTAACATTATCTCCTAGAAGAATGAAATGAAAACTTTTGGCCCTTTATTTATGGGTTTAAGGCACAATGGTGGTTTATCAGACTAATGCTGGGTTGCTGAAATTAAGGCAATAGACATTGCTAGCAAGTCACTTCAGATGGAATTACCTGCAATTATAGTTTACTCCCCTGATTCACTCGCCTTGCTTGCAAGTATGTTGCTGGTCTTCATTGCAATACCTGAAGCTTAAACACTTACCTGAACACAATTGTTTTCTGTCTTGTTTTCATGTGTTCCAAATTTAGACTTGGTTAGCATCTGACTGTCCATCGCTTAGAATTATTTCTGTGGAATATGATACCCACCTTAGTGACTGGAGAACCAAATGTCCTGTAGAGAGCTACAGGTAAGGAATAGGGGGAGTAGAAACTGAAACAGTGTTATGTCTCTGTACACATCTTGTACATGTTAGATGTGAATATAATGCTTATATATTAACATGATTGCATTAATATTTAATACTAAGGTTACATTTTTGTATGTTTATTGTATTGTGAGCAGTCTAAATTCATACCTGCATTTGATTAAGATAACAGATTGATCCTATTATGTAAACTTTAGAAGAGCCCTGCCAGGGTTGATCAAGATCAGTCTTAAAATATTTAGGTGGATTCATTCATTGCATTAACCCATGATTTCTTTAACAAAATTTAACTTTGTTTAACAAAATTGAATAACCTTTGGCAGAATTGCTATAATCTTGTCAAACCACTTTCAATATACTCTAAATACAACCATACATAGACAGTAGTTGCTCCCTGAAGAATATGTGGGGAGACTTGATATTCCCAAAACAGTGATTTTTGTCACAGGTAATGTGATTGTGTGCTGCCAAAATTGCTCCTTCAATTCCCCCAAAAGGAGACTTGACTTGGATAATACTAGAGCTGCTGACTTAATTCAGTATTTGGAATAGAGATTCTTTGATATCTACCATATATACTCGAGTATAAGCCGAGTTTTTCAGCACATTTTTGTGCTGAAAAAAAACCCCTCAGCTTATACTCGAGTGAGATTCCCTCTGAAAAAAAATTGGTGTGGAGCTCAGGAGCTGGGCAGCCGCTTCCCTGCTTCCGTGTTTCCTTTGCAACTTGTAAGCATGGGGGTAATCGGGAGCAGAAAAGTTCTTGCATGAGGATTTTCTTCAGCACAAAAAATGTGCTGAAAAACTCGGCTTATACTCGAGTCAATAAGTTTTCCCAGTTTTTTGTGGCAAAATTAGGTGCCTCGGCTTATATTCGGGTCGACTTATACTCGAGTATATACGGTATATTAATCTAACGGGATGTTAAATAACTGTTTACAATAAGTACTTCGAATACTTATCTGAAGTATTAAGTAATGCATTAATTTCCATGTTTTTGACAAGATTTTTAAATATTCTGTTTTACATATCAATCAAAACCCCTTGTGCATACCAGAAAACTGTTCTAAGATACTGCATATACACGTCATGTGAAATACAGCATATTGAATTGATTATCTGGATGCTAACCATTATTTTAAACAAGATTTGATTTAAAGCAATCATTTTGTACAGCCAGAATCTGCAAGATCATGGAATCCCTCAAGTTTTTTTAAAAAATATTCTTGCATCTTGGCATTCCCACCCAAAATCTCACTAATCGTGCTTAAACCTGATGAGATTTAATGATTCCATGGTAATTGCTTATCTTTTTAATTAAATTAGAGTCCCATGAGATCTGTTTGGAAGGTCATATGTTTCATAGTGCCAACAGTCACTGAGTTGTTGACACCTGTTTTTTTGTGGTGTTGATCTAACCTTGGTAAGTTTAAGATTTCAGCTTCCATGAATTCCCAGATAGCTTGACCATTGCCAAATGTTTTAGAACCTGAAGAACACAGTCTTAAAATTGCCAAGGGTGGGGGGACACGGTTCTAAACCTTTCAATAATATGGGATGTTCTAGGTTTAAGAAAAGTTTCAGAACTGCTGCCTAAAACATGCCAATATTTCCACACAGTTGGATGCTACGGGGGTGGAGCGCAAGCTGAGTGTAAGGAAATTGGAGTAAAGCTGCCAAGAAATAACCTGATTCTTCAGAATATGCTGCCTTGCTATATTTGCCTCTCTTGCTTTCTTTGCTGTCTCATCTGCAGAGAATCTCTTGCATATCGAAGTACTGAGCTTCTCAAGAAACTAAGAGCTGCTGGAATTGGAGACAGGCCTCTCATATGGCTGTCGCATAGCATGGGCGGTAAATTCATTGTCTTCTGTATCAACTTTAAAGTGAACTATTTCAAGCTTGTTAGCCCTGTCAATATAGTACATTGCTTCTATTCAATGGCAATGTTCATAAGATTCATTTGAGCCACGTAGAAAGCAATCCCCGCGTGGATTTACAATAATAGTAGCGTGTGGGATGTGTGTTTAGATGTGATGTGTTTTCAGTCGCTAGTGAATGTTCAGTGTGCTGTTTGTAGATTTTCCAGTAGCTCTCTACTGAAAATTCTGATTATTATACCTAGATGCCACTCTTGTCAGAAAACAGCCATAAAAACCTTATGTGGATGGCTAGTTACGGACTCCCCCGCTGATAGGATAGGATACTATGGAGTGTTGCTATCTGCCTCTTTAGTGTGTTTGTATTCAAACTTTAATGAGCCCAACTTCCTTTAATTTTTGCCACTCTTTTATTTCCTGACTGCACTGCTAACACAACCTAGACCCTTCATGTGTTCCAATACACCCTGTTGGTAGATTTCCTTTGCAAGACTAACAGGATGGTAAGCATCTCTTTGACTACTCATCTCCTCTAAGCCCTTTCTTACGGTTTCCAAAGTGTCTGCAGAAATATTGGGAGGGCTGGGGCGGGGCATAATGAATTAAATTTATGTGGCCTTCAGCGCTATGTTTACCGGGAAACAATATCTAGAAACTAGGCCTACATTGATCATTTAGTAAATCAATGAATAAAATAGTAATTTGGTTACTTGTCTATAACTCTTGCTTGTTCCCACATCCATTCCATTGGAAACTGAGGCAACTTTTAGTAGTGGCCTTTTCCCTATAATTCTTTCAGTATATTTGTTCGTAATCTTCTGAATATTGACATTTCAAGTTCTGGGCATTGGCTCTTTCCTCTGGCACAGGACGCATCCACCATATATATCTTTCGAAACATGAGATCACCCTCCAGCAAACCCTTGTTCTTGCTCACCGCTCACCCACTTCTTAAAAATGAACAAAGGAGCTAAGATTTCACATGCACTGACTTGGAATGGTTCTATCTAAAAATGTCATATTAACTCCACAGTGCCAATAGGCTTTCTAGATGCGACTTAAAGTGCCTCCATCCCCTCAGTCTGTTTCTGCACTTTCATAGCTGTTTGTCTGAAGGGCAAGCAGAGAGATTCATAAAGGATTTGGAAAAGAAAATTATTATTATTATTTTTAATGTGATTGCTTGGATTGACTGCCAGGAGGCACAGTGTGACCCATTTCATCTTACCTGGGGCTCATCTAGGGAGCCAGATCGTATTCTTTGGCATTTAAAACCCTCTACGAGGAATTGAACTCTTTTGACCTTTGCACTTTAGAAGACTATATGCAGCTCATTCGGCTTTAGAGTTACCCTAAAATATTAAGATCTTAGTTCTTGGCATTCAGCAGTTAATAGGAAGGGTTGTATATAGAAGCTGTCACAATTGTACACATTGTCTGCCTTCCCTTAAGATATGTATTATATGTTGTGTGCCACAAGTGTTATGTCAACTATGCATGGCACAGGACCTGGTTATTTGCAGGACCATCTCTCCTTAAAACTATCCACCCGTTCCACTAAATGATACAGGGTGCGCACACTCTGTGTCCCCCTCCCTGAAATCTTGCCATCTCGTGGGACCTCAGAAACATGCCTTTGCCATGGCTGCCCCTAACCTGTGGAATATGCTCCTGCTGGTGTTTTTCCACAGACCCTCCACCCTTCTAGCCTTTCAGAAAGCTGTTGAGATTTGGTTTATTTGTTTGTTAAGGGTTGTCTGTCTGTCTGTCTGTCTATCTACTAGTCACGTTTCTATACTGCCCATCTTCAAGGATCTCCCATTTTAGGTGCTGGAATTGTGTAATAGGAAACATGAAAGAAGGAAGCTGAACCTGCTGAGGGAGATACTTAACTTGCAGGTTTTTTGTTTTATTGTTTTAGAGTTTTTATTGTTTTTATGATTGTTTTATTTATTAGTTTTATAGTTACTGTGAGCCACCCAGAATTGCTTAATTGCTTATATGGGCGGCCACAGAAGGCTTCTAAACAACTGTACCATATGCATATAAGCAGACTGGGCTAATGGCCAACTTGGTATCTCTTGTACTTGGTACCGGTGGTCTGGGGCTTGTAGAAAGAGGCCTTCCTTTTCCAGAGGAGGAAAGAGTGACTGGCCCCCGTTTTTTTGTAAAGAAAGCAATCCAGAACGTCTTCAATGAATTGTGGGAGAGTGATTTTCTGTCTTGTATCTCTGTCATAAGCATCACAGCCCTGCATGGATCCCATTTCACGGAGGCTTTTCTTTTCAGGCCTTCTAGTCAAGAAAATGCTGCTGGATGCTTCCATGGACCCTGAAATGGCTTCCATAGTGGACAGCACGCGGGGGATTGTATTTTATAGTGTTCCTCACCATGGCTCCCGGTTGGCTGAATATTCTGTAAATATTCGATTTCTGCTCTTCCCTTCTGTGGAAGTCAAAGAGCTCAGCAAAGGTTTGTTTCTTTGCAGTAGTTCTGGAATTTGTATATTTAAAACATAGGTTTCTTTTCTATAGCTCTCTTTCTCTCATTCTCTCTCTCTCTCTCTCTCTCTCTCTCTCTCTCTCTCTGTGTGTGTGTGTGTGTGTGTGTGAAATATTAACAATAAAGCCAAATTATTGACACTAATCAACACTGAGCTTCATTTTTATTTATTCCTTTGACAGAGCTTAATGGAAATCCGGTTTTCTAGGCAATATTTTTGGAAGTGGTTTGCCATTGCTGTCTTCCCAGGGCTGAGAAGGAGTGAACATAAGATTACCAAGCTGGCTTTTGTGCCTAAGCCAGAACAGAGCTCAGCTTTCTCTGTTTCCAATCTGGCATCTTTTATCAGTAGAATATAGAATTCCAGTTTATGTGGAACTAGTTAAAAATTAGGCATTAGAAGACTCCAAATTCTGAAATTTCTACCCTATTCAGCACTTCTTGAATGTTAATGCAAGAGACAGAAGCATTTTAGTTTCCTCAGATTAAATGTAACCTCTTTACCCGTAAGTCACTGTTGCCTTCAGCCACCATTCAGAACCTCTGCAGTGTTCTTATAGAAAGAGGGAGGTAGAGTTGGATGACAACCATGTTCTGATTCCATTAGACACCAAATCTGTGTTTCATGTAAAATATAAATGAGGCCAGTATAAAGGCCTCTGATAGAGCCCCATGGCATCACTTTCAGGGTCTCCCAGTTCAGATATGAGGTATCCCCAATATTTGCTCCCAGACCACATCAGGAACTGTGTGAAACAAATATTAAATAGGAACGCAAATGGAATTCTAGTTAAGTTCAGGCATATCCTCAATTCAAACTTAGCTGAAGTGTAATAATTTTGTAACCACCTTGTCTGTTATTTATTTATTATATTTACATTAAAGGCCAATCTGGACAGCTGTGGTTCTGCATCACCTGCCCACCTACCCCAATTTATTGTGTACAGGAAGTTCTGTCCGTGAGCTCCATAGTCTACTTCCCTTCCCTTCCATTCCCGGGTAGAGAACTTAGACTTTGACATAGATAGGTCTTTTTTACAGGAGCCATTTTGTTTGTGTTCAGTCGGAAGCTAGCAACACATAGAAAGACTTGTGACCATTGGGACTAGAATTTCCATTGCTAAGCGAGGAAGTGGGTAAGTGAGTCATGCCCCATTTTACAACTTTTTTGCTGCAGTTGTTAAACAAATTACTGCAGTTTTAAAGTGAATCAAGCAGTCATTAAGTGAATCAGGCTTCCCGCATAGATTTTGCTTGTTAAAAACCAGCTGGGAAGATTGCAAATGACTTTGGGATGCTGTAACCATCTTAAATACAAGCCGGTTGCTAAGCACGCACATTTTGATCATGTGACTGTAGGGAATGCTGCAATGGTTGTAAGTGCAGGGACTGGTTGTAAGTCACTTTGTAACTTCGAATGGTCGCTAAATGGATGGTTTAAGCCAAGGGCTACATGTACTTCACCAGAACAAATAGAGGGCATGATATCATCTAGCCTTGCTTGATACTGGCACTCAGCCTTTAAAACGACGGCAAATGCCACCTTTCTGAACTGAAATCCATCTTTGATATGAAAAACATTATACATCAATGTAGACCTCTGCCTGAAACGCAGTGTCTAAAATAAGAAATCCACATTTCATTTTTATGCGTTTTTCCAGATTCGCCTGCCCTGAAAGCACTGAATGACGACTTCATCTCATTTGCCAAGAACCAGAACTTTCCAGTATTAAGCTTTGCAGAAACTTTGCCAACACGAGTTGGCAGAATGCTGAGTCTGCATGTCGTGCCAGTAGAATCTGCAGGTTTGACAATCTCAGAATTCCCCTTCAGAAATGCCTGCCTTTAGTCATCCATAACAGTGTTTCTTTACCTCAGCAACTTTAAGACTGTGAACATCAACTCTCAAGATTCTGCAGACATTCTGGGAGCTGAAGTCCACACATCTTAAAAGAAGGCCAAATTAGACATCTTAATGATAGGTAAATGAGCTAATGGAAAAAGTAAAAAAAAATAAAATAAAGAAATTAATGATTGACTTCCAGTTGAGGAATACTGGATCAACCATCATTATGCCTCAGATCTCAAGGTAATTTGCTATCTCACCTTTTTTCTTTATATGCTCATTACTTACATTTTAAGGAATGTGAATTAATTATTTGAACATTTTCACTAGGACGGTTTCTGTATTATCAAACAAAATGTAGTTCTTTAGTAAACAATTAGGAATACGAGGGTTGGATTCGCCCTCAATTTGAAGTTATTGCTTCTGGCTTTTCTATATTGTGGGAATTTTTATATTATACAGGTAGTCCTTGACTTAAGGCCACAATTGAGACCCCAAATTTCTGTTGCTCGGTGAGACAGTCGCTAAGGGAGTTTTGCCCCATTTTACAACCTTTCTGGCCACAGCTGTTAAGTGAATCACTGCAGTTGTTCACTTAGGCTGGTTGTTAAGTGAATCTGGCTTCCCCGTTGGCTTTGCTTTTTGGAAGGTGACAAGGTGATCACATAAGCCCGGAACACTACAGCTGTCATGAGCCAGTTGCCAACTGTCTGGATTTTAATCACGTGACCATTGGGATGCTGCAGTGGTCCTAAGTATGAAAAACGGTCATAATTTGCTTTTTTTCAGTGCCATAACTTTGTAACCATCATTAAACAATGGTAAGTTGAGGACTACCTGTACTTCATTGTATAATTGTATGTATGTTTGGCCTGAAAACAAGGTGCAGTTTTTCTTTTATTATGCATTGTGTAGAAAGGACTAAAAAAGTTATTTCAAACCGGTGCACATATTCCTCAAACGGCAAAGACACAAATTATGTATGACATCCTGTTAAACAGCTTATGGATTACTGCAGCGAAAATAAATTTTCAGGTATACTCCAACCTTGTTTTATACACTGTTTAGAATTTGGTTCAAGCATCATCTTTTTAATTATTTGTTACTGATTCCAATTCGGAGAAAGGTCAGACAGATAGGCTGCCATCTTGCCTGGAGACCCTAGAAAGCAGGGGGAGTCCTTTGAATGTAAATAGTTTCATAGTCTTTTCTGTGATCCTAATGCTCTTTGCTGTGTCTGTTTCAGATTTGGGCATTGGAGAACTCATCCAGGTAGAAGTTAGCCACCTCAACATTTGCAAACCGAAGAACAAAGAATCTTTCCTGTATCAACAGACCTTAAAGTTTATTCAAGATTCTCTAAAAAGGGAGCTGGGAAGTCACTGAACGACCACACTGTGCATATTTGTTCTTTTACTGGAGCAGTTATGCCAACTTTTCTTTGAATCTGGGCCTGTCCTTGGCAGGGCAGCTGTTTTATTACAGTCAAGCTATTTTTTTTTACCATTGCTTAATGGGAAACAGTGGATGTATTTCTGGTGCTGTATATTGTACAAAGCATTGTTGTTCATTTTGAGTTCCATTTAACGCTTGACAAGGAAACGGTTATCTGGGCTCCTAGAAGGTCTTTTCATTGTTTTGTAAGCATGTGTTTTACCTAAAGAGATCTTCATTCTCTGCTCAATATAGAAACAAAGCTGCTATGCCATTAATGATTATCCTATATCAGTCGTTGACACTAGGTGGTTGGGGGCACTTGTTCCTGTATATATTGTGCATACTGGAGAGCAAATGCTCTGCCACAAATCTACTCTCCCATCCTGATGTACTTATACACACACCCACATTGCAGGATATCAAGTTCTTTACGGACATTGATATTTTAAATATAGTAGAAAATATGTGTAATGACAAATGAATATGTACCCTAACCTGTATTTTTGTAGCTGGATGCCAACAGAAAACAAAGGCATACAGTAAATTTGCTATTGTACAGTGTTTGGAAAGCTGTTACAAGCCCAAAACTATTTTACTCCCCCCCCTCCAAAAAAAAACCAAAAACCTAAAGCAGTTTCTTAATTCTATGACGACAGATTTTCCTGTGGTCATCTTACACCAAAATGCCTCATGAAGTAAGGAAGATTCAGAATTGTTGCTTGATTCTGCATAAAAGGCTGGATTAATCAAGGGAGCACTTACTTGAGATGAATCAGATTATGTTTTTACCACTTAAATTTTTTAAAACTAAGAAGATAAAATTCAGTCTCAATGTAATCTGAATAAGCCTGCCAAATATATATTGCAATATTGAAAATGCGAAACACTCCAGGAGGGTAGATATTCTTCCCTTTGGCTGTATTTTGAATTTTAAGTAATATAATGTATAAAGCCAGTTCCAACATGAAGCCAAACCATAGCTTGATTTTTCATATAAATGAAAAATGCTTCCTGAAGATTGCTTGTCCTGTTTTTATGTTCCATTTGCTTAACATCCCTGTGGTAAAACAACTGACATAATTGTGAGAAGCCACCACTGATATTGTCAGATGTTGCAAACCATGGTGTGGAGGTTATAGGGAACCTTGGTAAACCTTGTCTATGGTTTTAGAATGATAAATTAAGTCACTATATTTGTAGCAAAGCAGATTCCTTTTGTAGACAAAGGGGAAATGGTTATCAATATCAATTGGCTGCATTTCCTTGTGTCAAAAACATTTGTTACTGTTTGAGCCATCTGAAGTATACATCCCCATTGCTACCCATCCGAAAGAGCGTGTAATTTACCTAGTGTAATATTTTTGTGTGTACTAAATAGTATTTTGTGTATACTTTTTCAGACAACTCTTGGTTTTTTTTACTACTGTAGCTGATTAAAAAAGGGCATGTCGTAAACATAAAAAAAAACACTTGATCATTACATTGCTACCTACAGTTATAACATTACACATTTAGGAAAAAAAAAACCATATTCTTCCAGTATAGTAACTTTCCAACAAGTTACCTATCATGAGGTAATTTATACATAATGAAATAAACAATGTGAATTATTCATGATGTCAAATCTATGAATACTGTTGTGTCTAAACAGATACATGAGTCAATAGCATCATGAAACTACTGGTGTTGAGTGGATTAACATATGACTATGATTTGGTCTTGAATGAAGTAACTGAAATTCAGCTTTGCTTGCCTGAAGTTGCCTGTGACTTTTGATATATTTGCACAGTATTTTTTTATTAGACATTTCAGAAGTTATTTTTTACTCAGTAGAAGAAATGTTTTTAAAAACTGGTCAGGACAACATTATTTATTTATTTATTTAAACCTTTGCCCTGTTTTGCTCAGGGCGAGTGGCATAAATTGCAATCAGTGGCATAGAGTACGTTACTAGAAAGATTCAAGTTTTAATAAGGCATCTCACTAGGCAGCAAGTTATATGATATAGTGCCAACAGCTGGATACCACTTCAAGTAACGTAATAAAAATTACTTTCATTTGCAATTTATAGTCACTTCAATTAACTTGCTATCTAATGCTTTTTATTAGCATGTAAATGACCTGCCACAAAGCTGTTAAATTATCTGTGTTGCAGAGAATATCGTCAGTAACAGTATACTAGGCTTCCTTTTAATAGGTGTTCATTTTTCATCTTAAGATGCAGCCATAAATAATCAGGGATGCTTCTGGTTTCCTTATTAAAGGGGGGGGGGGGGTTTAGAGCAATCTTCCCTAACCAGCTGTCCTACGCCAAGGGCAACAACCTTCTCAGAAGGGGATGGTGGGAGTTACAGGCAACCCAACTAGAGTGCAAAATTATTTATGTCTTCTAGTAAGCAAATGTTACTGCTACATACTCTTTTATTTGATTCCATTTTTGAAATATTGCTGGAGACTATAATAACCTACTTGATTTGGCACTTCCGACTTTGTCTTAAGGTTCATTTAATTAAAAAAAATAGCAATATGTTAGCTAATTAACCTTTAACCTTGCATCATATATATATATCTATATAGGAATAGGCCATGACTTGTTTCTCACAAACCATTTTTAATATTAACAGAATAAAAAAAGCCCAAAATACATGTTGCGTTCCCCCCCCCGCCAATAAAAAAGAAATTAACTTCACTTCTTCTTCTAAAGCAGGGGTGTCAAACTGGCAGCGTCACATGACATATTGGGATTTCCCCCCCTTCACTAAACCGAGGGGGGTGGGGCCAGCATGTGACGCATCTGGCCTGCGGCCCACAAATTTGACCCCTGTTCTAAAGCAACATAATTCTTTGATCCTAGATTTTAATTTCTTGCCTGAATTGTAAAGCTAGATCACTGTATTTTTTACGATGTAAAATACCGGTAATTGTGCACAAAAATATTAGCCTTTCAGTGTCCATACTAATTAGTGTTTTCCCCCCATAACCCACCGGACATTTTATTAGCCGAAGAATACTTGAGATTTAAAATGAGAAATGAAGCCACTCATCTGTGTACCTGTATTATTTCCTACCTATATCATATATGGGTAGTTTCTTCCATAGGTAATATATTCTTATATTAATCCAAACAGACCCAGATCTAGGTATATAATAGAAAATTAACAATGATTTCTGCTATGAGGTGATCTGTAAGGGAATACATCTCTTGCCTTCACCCCTTCAGGCTCCGATTCAAAACAGGCTAGATCTAGAACCACATTGCTCAAAATACTGTATATATTTCCATGTCTTCATACAGGCATGTTTCTAAAATCCTAAAGAAGGTTTTCTATCACAGCTTGAACTTGAATGGCTATTTTGGATACTACCAGCCCCAAGCTTACCGTGCCACTTCTAAAACCACCTTGGATTTTCCTCTATATTATATGACAGCTATTATTAGACAGAATCAGACTATCATTTTTTTCTCTTCCCAACTGGCCTTTTTGAAATTCAAATTCATTTCCTACTTTGCATACACTGATAACAAGGATAAAAAATAATTTATGGTTGTGAACTAGGGTTCTAAGCATGCAGTTGGCTCAAGAATGACAGAGTACCTCTTAGTATATAAAGCAGAATTAACTCAGCTTTTTACAGTAGAAAACTACAGGGCAAGCAACCACTTGTGGGATGGGATTCAGAAATGAGCAAAGTGCAAGTAAAGGGTATTTGAAGCAGGCCTCATTTTTGCACACATGCATATGATAAATACTTGTTATTGAATTTACTATTAAACTTGAACTAGAAATCACCAAGGCGTGAGAAGAGATGAATGCTATACCATGCATAGGGGTCCCCAACCGCTGGGCTGCGGCCCACTACTGGCCTGTAGCCTACTTGGAACTGGGTGCATGAGAGGTGGGCTGGCACAAATGCGCAGCTCCACTAGTGCGTGGTGCGCCAGCACGCATGCATGCATACAGCTCCACTTGCACAAGTGGTAGCAGACCACTACTTGCGGAGCTCCCCCCTCCCGGACTGCCAAGCCCAAAGATTGGGGACCATTGCCGTACATAATTTGCTGAACTTCCTTCTATCATAAAGTTCATAAAGTGTTTTTCTAGGAAAAAAACGTACAAAAATGAATTCATCGTTTTAAACTGAGGTCAGAGCTTAACCCTGAGATATAGTACTACTGTTGCCATCTTCTCCAAATGTGACCCAGTGGCTGAAATCCCTTGGACAGGAGTGTTTCAAATTTTGTGAAGCAGGAGGTGGATTGGCTGGTAACGGCTGGATCACTGGCTGGCAAGCAGCAAAGTCTACTTCCAAGTCTAGCAAATTGGTATTTTCCATTGGACAAGGATTGTCTGAAGCTTGCTCTTGTTGCTGAATCCTCAATGGAGAAGTTTCCTGTAGGCCACCAATCAATTCTAAACCAGTCTGCCTCAAGAGCTTAGCATCATTGTCTTTTGAGCTGATCACCACTGTTGAAGCAAGAAGAGAGGGTTCACTCTGAGAAGATGGCAGTGCGTCAGAATCCATTGTGGAAAAATATGGTGTTGGAACGTTATTGTTGGAATTGAATGTCAGCCCTTTTAGAAACAGGTTATTGCTGTTCTGGAGTACTTGCAGGTGAAAATCGGGAGGAGCAGACTTCTTTCTTCTTGGGGGAACTCTTGGAGCCTGAGCCAAGTTCAGAGAAGGAATATGAGAACTTTCCTCTAAAAGAGACAAGGGAGTTGGTTGCCTTTCATTGCTGCTGCTGTTGCTCCTCTCAGTAATTTTGCCAGGATGCATGGTCCTTGGCTTAGGAATAGGAACAGTCTTAAGAGAACCAGTAATAGTTGTGGTTTCCGGACACGTTTCTGGAGATGCAGAGGAGAAGTGACTCACGGTTTGCTCAAGCTGCTCTTCTGGAGAAGGAGGCTGAGGGGAAAAAAAAGGACGATTAATTGTTTTTCAACCAACCTTTCATTAGAAACAAAGCTATCCAGAGTCATCTCTGGACCAGATGGGTGGCACATAAATTTAACAAAGAAACATTTCTCTCTTGCTCTTAAGGGTGTGTGTGTGCGTGCTTCTGGTAATACAAACGCCAGTGTGGTTTGCTGTCCCTATACTTTACACTTGAAGAAACTATTTAATCAGTGTGGTTTGTAGTCATAAGTGTTTTACAATATAGCAATAAACCTTGTAGGATTTTTACGATTTTTAAGCCAAAGGGGAAGCATGAAGAGCAAATATCTACAAAAGGCCTACAATATAGCCCACTATTTAAAATCACGAAGCAGAATTCCCAGTAAAAACCTTCCAAGTCTTTAGTTTAATTTACTTTATTGTCACTGCACCTCGTACAACGAAATCAAACACCATCCTCAGTGCACATCATGACCATGAAAATAAGCACAACACACACCCTCCCCCTCCACATATTGAACCGAAAACCCCCGACACCGCACCAATACTGCACTACACAGCAGAATTCAAAAGAGCTACTGCCCTGGGATAGAATAGCGCTACTTGAATCAGATTTCCCTAATCCCCACTCCCCAACTATTAAGGGTTCAATTCAACAGAATCGATACTTGCCTCAATCACAGGAAAAGAGAGTTTTCAATTCTTTCCTCAGGTCTCAGTTAGGCTCTACACATTTCTTACATTTGTTTTAGGAAAGGAGGTCTATAAGCAAAATATGAAAGCTCTATCTTCCTAAATACATCTCAGACACAAAACTCCCCACAAAAATGGAAGTTCTTGTAATTTACTTGCAAACACTAAATACGTCATCTATATGAAGGGATGATTTCTGTGCAGAGGGAAGAGCCTTATATTGACACTTACACATCCTGGCTTGGCTCCCATTTTCTGCAAAGGCGCAGGTTTTTTGGGAGTTGGGACTTTAGGTGGGGGGCGCTGAGGTATGAGGACTGGGGCTGGCTGGAGGCCGTGAAGAGGTGCTGAGTTTGGGCCACCGGGAATGAATTCAGGTTTAGTCACAGTCTGAGTTCTTGCTGGAATGGAAGCCAAGGATTCCTGGGGTGTTACTGAAATACAAAAAATGCATTCAGTTTCTTTAAAGCATTCAATATATCCAATGTAGCATTTGTTTCTAACAGTGCATGTTACCACTTGCATAAAACCTGCCAACATCTAGGGTAAAAATGCATGCCAAAGAAAAGGATTTTTACCAGCCTTACTAATTGATAAGGCAAGGAAGGACAAAGAACAATTTGAATTTCAAGACTTTTTTCCCCCATTTATTTTATTGGCATAGAAAGTTCATTCTCAGCATCAGCCGCTTCCTTTTCAATTCAGAACATGAGAAAATGTTTTGCAAAGTTTATCTTGTTGGGAAAATGTTGTTGTGCCTTATAGGGATAACTTTTAAGTGTTCACAACTATATTGTGAAATAAAATCAACAGGTAAAATTGACAATCAACCTTTACTATACAATATTTAAAAGTGATGTGTTCACTGCAGTTAAATCTAGAATCCGTCCTGAAACACTCAATTCAGAAAAAGTTGGGGAGAA